TACTTTGTCTGCAGGTCTCTGTAACGCTAGCGTTCCTGACTGCAGTGACGTTTGCGCAGTATCACCACGCTGTGGAACAAAATCAACTTCCTGTCGAACATCACATAGAAGAATACCACCACGTAAGTACTACGACACGGCACACTCGAAAACTTTGTACCACTAGGGTGCCAAAGCGCAGACGGGGGGATTCTATTAAAAGAGAATTTTTGCTAATGGAATGGATTAATATGGCTGTAGAACTTCTACCATCGACATACATATCTCGGCCCTTCTTACTTCATTGTTAATGTCGCTCGAAATCTTTCCTGCTACTGTAAAAAACAAAGAAATTGCTCGAATGCCTAATCAAAACACCGTGTGTTACTGTATAGAGGGCGTGTAGATAACGCTGTGCCACTTCTTCAGCAGATATAGATTTCACGCTTCGTGTACTTTAGCTAGGTATTCGTTGAATAAAGAGCTGGGTAGACCCCGGGGTCTGTCTGGAGATTGTTATAATTGTATAAGTATAAATAGACACCTAAAATTATGACCATTCCTTTCAGGCACACCCCAAGTACGAATTCAAATACGGGGTGAAGGACGAACACACACACGACATCAAGGAGCAGGCAGAGAAACGTGACGGCGACAAAGTCGAAGGCTACTACAAGTTGGTTGAACCTGATGGCACCACTCGCACGGTCCACTACACTTCTGACAAACACACCGGGTTCCACGCTCAGGTCGTGAGGTCCGGACACGCCATTCATCCTATTCAACAGCATCACAACTAATAGATCATCAGAACACATCTATAATTCCAGCACGGTTGTTTTCTCATTTTATCATAAAGTTTCAGTGTTTTCTCATTTGTAATTTCAATGCGTCATTTCATTTCGACCGTTTACCAAATAGTATAACAAGTATCTGAACTTGTCACCGGGATTCTTGGCCGTTTCTTTACAATGGTAATGAGTATGACTAAGCCTCCGTTGTAAAATAAATAAATCGTTAATGCAGGCCTCGCCGTACTTAGGGCACTTCGTGACTTCCTATAATTGTTCCATCATTCATCAGTCAGAATTGTTGTATGTTTGAATTGTTGGCCTTGTAATAAAATTGTTGAAGTTAATTATTTTTCTCTTTTTCTCCTTCTTATAAAAGCATTGGCAGCTTTAAAATTCACTCACAGTTCAACACGGTCACCAACTTTGAACATCATATTGAAATTAGCAACACCATTGAAGTAGTTACAAGTCGCTGAAATGGATAAGAAATTATTTGCCTTTTTATGGAACTAAATAGTTCATTACAGTATTCACAACAATTCATCATTGGATCATACACTGAGCCAGATGAATCCATTATGTCCTATTTCTTTAAGATCCTGAAAAATACACAAATTTCTGTACAAATGTATAGAGATTTTATCATTGGGCATACGTTCAAATTCATGTCCTGAAACGCACAAATTTAATGTTCATCTTTAATGGAAAAATTTACAGCCTATCACAACCGATCTCATTTGCTGTAAGTCAATACGCCTTAAGTCAGATACGTGTTAGCAGTAGCGGTAATTCGATGAAGTCCAAATTCGAATTTGCTTGATCTAACTCAATTTGTGTTAGCTAAAGATTATTTCAGAAACACCGTGTAATTGCTTTTGGAAATGAAACTTGAGATACACGAAATGTAATCTCCATCAGCTCAACAACTGTTGTATTAAGGGTACATATTTCCTTCACTTTTAACACGTGATTTATGAAAATTATTTTAGCTTTCTGGAAATGTCTTCGCTAGGCCTATGTATTAACGGACGATATCGACATTAAATTTCGTCAGAAGCTTCGCAAGGGCTCCATGCCAAGAAATTGAAAGTGTTGAAAAATAAGTCGTCTGCTGACCTGGCTTTCCTGCCGAGTGTTACAAAACAAATAATTAGTCAAACGTCCATTACAGGTACACTCAAACAGCAAACAAGAGGTTTCGTTTAGAAACAAGACGAAAATAAACAATTAAATAGTGGTCGTCTGTTGATCGGTCATGATGTAATGATGTACGACAGACAAAGAGCAATCTTAAGCGAAGTTCAAAGCCTGAACTTCATACATCAAAATCAGCAGGATGAAGTACTAATTTTATGCACTAAACTTGCAATACTTTTCAATTAATTCTGCAATATCGATCTGTGTCCGTGTTACCTCAGTGCGATGACATACGTCCGTGAATATGCAGAAAGCATTAAAAGTCGTTTGGCTGTCAAACACAAACACAACACACTGGAAATCTTAACAAGTGCACACTGAAAATAAAACAGATGGACATCAAACCAGTAAAACCACACGTAACAAAAGCAAAGAGGGTAACAAACAAAGATATTAAATTCAGAGAAATTATACATCAAATGGTCAAATGGAGTTAACGCTGCAAGATTTCAGGCTCTCACGGCGACAGGTATCTTCTGAAATATTTCGACGTGTAGTATGGTAGATATTGACCAGAGTTTCAGAAGAGCTTACTGCCTCCATCATCAGTATAACGATCTGTATGTATCTAACAGACTATACGGTGCAACATCCCAGAAGACACACATCTTCACGGATTTAACAGATTTGGGAATAAAGGACCGGGTATAATAACGCTTCAAAACTGAAAATAGCAGTAAAATAATTAAAATGTATGACCATCGGAAAGTAGGTCTATGAGTAAAATTTTTACTCACAAAACGGAGTGGAAGCACATGGCAATTAATAGCGAGGTTTCCTGCTTGATTGGCATTCCGAAGTTTTCTGAACAGCCGACAAGCTTCTCTGAGGTTCTTAAACCTTCAAAATCCCTCTGGGACTTAAACGTACCAACTAATTTAATAGTAAACTCTGCGTTTTGTACAGTTCATGGACAAACCTCTCTTACGTGGGACATGACAATAATACAGGTCTGCACATCCCTAACTGGGTCGCCATTTTACCTGCGAATTTTTCTAATTCTCTCTTCTGCACATATGTTTGACCACATGCCCAGGATAACTCGCTCCATGAAGCAATCGGTCTTCTTCAGTAGCGACAGTAGCCCAGCCAGTCAAGAAATCCCGTCTTACAAAACACCACGACTCCGGTCCCTATCACGAGTCAAACAAATCAAGCCCATGTCCTTCAATCCAATTCCTGTAAAATCGATTATAATATTATATTCACATGTATGATAATGTCTTCTAAGTGGCCTCATCCCTTCACATGTTCGTAAAAATATGTTATTACACTTATCATCTCCATGTGTGCTGCATGCCAAGCCCATCTCATTTGTCTATGTTTCATCATCTTAATAATATTGTATAAAGAATGAAAATTATGAATCATCTCGCCGAGCAATTTTATTCAGCCTTCTTTCAGTTTGTCCTCTCAGGTCCAGAAATTCTCTTCAGCACCCTCTTTCAAATTCGTCTTCTTCCCTTAACAAGAGACACCAAGTTCCACATCGATATCAGACAGGAAAACAATTGATTCTGAAGCTAATTGTGGCAGGAATTCCTTAAATTTAATCTGCTTCTAATTTCCTCACAAATGCAATTTTTTGTTTACTGCCGTTCCCAAACACTTTGACGTAGTGCATTTTCAAAGGATTTATTACGTGTGCTTAATTTTTGTTTTATCCTACAATTTCATGATGGACATAACTGAGGTTCCTCTGTGGTTATCGGTCTCCTAACATCTAATAATGCTTCTGCTTTCTTCCTTTGTGGCATCGATTTCGTCCAATAATTTACACAAATAGGGCAGACTAGAAGCTGATGTGTCCAATTCAGATCAGCGGATCCACTAGAATTTTTCAAAAGTGTCAGTCAAATACAGAGGCGCGTTAGTAAATTGTTGACGGCCGTCGTACTTCATCTTTTATAATTTGAAATCACAGATAGCAACACAGCACATACTTTCATCAAAGTGAAGCTATTATATTAGTGAGAAATATTTTTTCAAACTGTCAGTCACAGTAGTTCAAAATGGCGCATTTTAAGTGGAAAAATAAAGGCACTGCCTTGTCCCAAAACGGTATTTACAACCAATTAGATTTCATAATTTTTATATTTGTAAAAAATTGCCTTCTAGGGTTCAAAAAATACAATTCTTGCATTTATTTTTTATTTCCACTTGTACGAATAAAAGAAAACACAATAGTCTGTTTCGTAGGCGACGCTTTTGGCAGAAGGACGTATTGGATCTGATAATGGTTCCATAAAAAGAAGTTAGTGGAATTTGTCGATACTTCTGTTATGGACTAATTCAGTATTACTAAAATCATCGCTTGACGGAACAAGACTTCAACTTTCTAAGTTCTTTGCTGACGTCTCTTAAACGTAATCAGCACACTTAAACAAATGTAACGTTCAGTTGAACGTTATTTTAATTCCTAAACGGATCGTTTAAACCGTAAACTTCTGTATTTTTTCGCAGTATTCGTATTGTGAGATAGGAATTTCTGAAAATTCCGAATAATTTAGTGCAATGTAGGCAAGGATCCTATTCTACTGTATTTATTAGCTTCAAAGAATGATGGGCTAAATAATGGTTAATAGTGAAAACCAATTTATTGTGTTCTGTCATGTTCTCTGAAGCGAAACATTGGATCCATTTGTAATGTAAGACAATGGGCGCCTTCGCGTCATGGATTACATTTCTAAATGCACCCTACCAAGTTCTCATGCTCGCAAGGTGGTATATAACGCATCAGCGATTTTGTAAAGGCATCAGTTTCGTCTTGTACTTCATTCAGCAATCAAGACCTCTAGAATTATTTCATCGGACTTCACTGTAAAATGGCTACAATAACGGTAAATGGAAGTTACACCAAGTGTCAAAAATACACGCAATTGAATTTATTAAAATTTATTAAAATAACATTTATATTCTTATGCTTATTCCTGTAAATTACATATTAAAATGTGATGACGAACATACACTCCAACAAACGGGTCTGCGAATAATTCGGCTGCTTTTATTTTAATGACAATCTGTGTGAAAAATTATACAATTAGGAGAGCGCACAATTAGTCGAAAATTATATGTAGTCATATAAATGGGTATCAAAGAAATACAGTTTAAAGACTTTAAAATACATTTTACGGAATACGCGACCTTAACAAAAGAGACATTAGCGATTTTCACTCAGCTCCAATCAATATAATAAGACTTGCAAATTGCCCCGATCATCACATAATATGGGTCTGTAACGTTCAGTTGAACGTTATTTTAATTCCTAAACGGATCGTTTAAACCGTAAACTTCTGTATTTTTTCGCAGTATTCGTATTGTGAGATAGGAATTTCTGAAAATTCCGAATAATTTAGTGCAATGTAGGCAAGGATCCTATTCTACTGTATTTATTAGCTTCAAAGAATGATGGGCTAAATAATGGTTAATAGTGAAAACCAATTTATTGTGTTCTGTCATGTTCTCTGAAGCGAAACATTGGATCCATTTGTAATGTAAGACAATGGGCGCCTTCGCGTCATGGATTACATTTCTAAATGCACCCTACCAAGTTCTCATGCTCGCAAGGTGGTATATAACGCATCAGCGATTTTGTAAAGGCATCAGTTTCGTCTTGTACTTCATTCAGCAATCAAGACCTCTAGAATTATTTCATCGGACTTCACTGTAAAATGGCTACAATAACGGTAAATGGAAGTTACACCAAGTGTCAAAAATACACGCAATTGAATTTATTAAAATTTATTAAAATAACATTTATATTCTTATGCTTATTCCTGTAAATTACATATTAAAATGTGATGACGAACATACACTCCAACAAACGGGTCTGCGAATAATTCGGCTGCTTTTATTTTAATGACAATCTGTGTGAAAAATTATACAATTAGGAGAGCGCACAATTAGTCGAAAATTATATGTAGTCATATAAATGGGTATCAAAGAAATACAGTTTAAAGACTTTAAAATACATTTTACGGAATACGCGACCTTAACAAAAGAGACATTAGCGATTTTCACTCAGCTCCAATCAATATAATAAGACTTGCAAATTGCCCCGATCATCACATAATATGGGTCGTTTAATGCAGTGGTATTCAACCTGGGGTACGCGAAGATATCTTAGGGGGTATGTGAAATTTAAATATATATATAAATATATATATATATTATTTTATGATAAATACTGAATAATCAGGGCCAGATTTAGGGTTAGCCACAGGAGAACCAGACGGAAGGACATTCGATTTGGGAGATTATATACTATGTATTACTTGAATTATACACCAACAACTTTGGGGGTACAAAGTTAAAGAGAAATTATATCTGGGGGTACGCGAACAAAAAAGGTTGAATACCACTGGTTTAATATATTGGGCAAAGCAATAGTTAAGAAAAGCTCCGCCCACATATGCTTCGACATGCGTGTAGGTTTCTTTAGGGTGAAACCGCGTGATTCATGACTGCCGTTATTACGTCATATGAGTGGAAAGGTTTAGCTCTAAACTTCTATGCAACTACAACCGACGGTTTATCTACAGATTCATTACAAATTCCGACGAATCAGTTACCCGACAAGCTGCTATGATCATTACCTAACGCAACTCGCCTAACTGTGGCAGCCACGTCAAATAACAATAAAATAATACGATTTTAAGTACAGCTGTGCATTTTGAACAACACTACCAATAACAGTGCGCGTAATTTGTTCTTATAGTAAGGGAATTTGAGAACAAGGTAATGAGGAGAATTTTGGGTATCAGGGAGAGGAAGTAATAGCGAGTGCAGAAAAATACATTGTTTGGAGCTTCATAATTTACAAGGCCTACTGTTTTTAAAACATTGTTAGAGTGATCAAATCAAGAAGTATGTAAATGGGCAAAGCATATAATACGCATGGGAGAAGTAACGGATGCCTTTAATATTATAGTCAAAAAACCCGAATTAAAGATATTACTTACAAGGCATAGGAACAGATGGGAGGATAATATTAAAATTCATCTTGTAAATAAATGCAGTGTGAGAACGTGGACTGGATTCATTTGGCTCAGGATAGTAACCAATGGCGTGCTATTTTTAACAGGGCAACAAACTTTCATGTTCCATAAAAGGCGGAAAACTTCGAAACGATCTGCATAAGCTTAAGTAGACATAATGTTTATTTCAAAGTGCTATTATTATTTACACTTTTCTCTTTTCAGATGTTAACAGCCTTACTGCTGACAGCCCACTTGTGGCAGAACGTTAAGGCCGGAATTTACCCCGTGGCTGGTAAAGAGACTGGAAACACCTACGCTTATTTCAATGGACCTGTAGCCACCCCCGCAAAACCGGTTATTCTAAATTCGGTGGGAAGCGGAAGCGGTGCTGGAAGCCTTGGACGTTTCGGAGTAGCTGGCGTACGTAGCACTGCTGGAGGACTTGGTGTCGCAGGAGTTGCAGGGGCACCTGAAGGACTTTCTGTTGACTATTCCGTAAGCAAAATAACCCTGCGGTGACAAAATCATATAGACCAATTGCAGATATCTTCGCCTGTTCTAAATCACTTGAGGCACGCTAATACATGTAGGATGTGAGATAAATTTTCATGCCCATACAAAAACATGAACACAATTTACGTAGCTGTAAATTAGACAACATTTTGAGGTACGTGATTTCATAATTACATAAAAACATGAACGTAATTCGCGGTATAGAAAACCTCCAACACTTTTAGGTCTTGCAGTTTTTAAGTAAAACATTATGCCTGTGGGTTTGTATTGCAATGCCAATGCAGAATATGTGGAATATTTATTTTTGTCAACACCATAAGTACATTTTTTAACTTCACAGGCGTATGTAAAACGTAGTCTAGTTAGAGATACTCTCTCCAAATACAAATTCTTAACAATACCATTCTAGGACGTCTTATTTATTTCTGTGCCTCCAAAGACTAAGAAAGCTAAAATATTTATGTCAGCAGAATGATTAATTTATTTGGTATAATTCAACTTTTTGGACTCCCACGAAACCTACTTTGCCACCTGATTAATTTGCTTCCTAATTTTCCAGTCGCTGGATTCAATGTTAGCATGCTTGCTTTTCTAGTCCCTTCCTGCAGAAGAAATTGAACATTACTCCAAGAAATTTAAAAATTACTGCGATTGTGGTCACAGAATTTAAATTTGCTGAGCAACATGGAACTAACTATGAAGCATTTAAAAAAGAAGTATCAGTATTGTAATTATTTATTTTGTTTTAGAAAGTAAAAAAAAAGCTGTCAGGCTACACGCCATGTAGGCGCTTGAGGGGAGATGAGGTACAGAATCACGATCCGGCCGTGCTTTACTCCCAGAAAGGGACCCCTGTATCCAGTGGACAGGAGCATGGGTGGGCCCCAGAGCCGGTCTGAGCACATAGACCAGAATAAAATCCTCTGCCCCTGCAGGGAATCAAACCCCTGTCATCTAGTTCGTAGTCAGTTACTATACTGAGAAACCCCAGCTCGTAGGTAGTTACTAATAGGTGATATTATTGTCATTTATTACTTATAATGGCCCCGAGTTTCAAAGTTTATATTTAAATGCGCCAACACCAACAATAATTCAATTTCTGTACTTTTTACGAAATATTATCAAGGAGGACGGGAAGGGGGAGATCATGTAGGGGAAGTGACAAATGAATACAAACTTGAGATTTCAAGTTCTCATGGCGGCGAGTATGAAGATGGCTGTCTTCTGAGACACTGCGCCGTGTAGTCTAGTAGAAGTTTATTGGCGTGTCAGAGGTTCTTATTGCCTCCTTATGATGGAAGCAGAAACCACCCGTGAAATTTTGTAAACTTCTACCAGACTACACTGTGAACTATTCCAGAAGGTAGTCATCTTAACGTAAATAGAATTTTAGCCGGAAAGGAAGACATCACTTTGAGAAGTAGACGGATCTTAACAATATAAGATATGAGGGTGACAACTGGATACAATTTGCTCAGGATTCCTTCGAATTCCAACAAAGAGTGGGAAATTTCTTAACCAGTTATGCTCCGTAGAATGTCACAAAGACGATACTACTGTCTATATCAATAGCTCAGTCTACATAACGATGAATTATAGGATTGTTAATGAAATACAAACTCAAAAGGATACGGAACGAACCTATTGTCGCCATATTTTAACGTACTATCCCAGAACTTGCCTAGAAGAGCGAAGGAAATCCAATAAAATTTCAAATTAGCATAATCTGTCTTCGAGACGAGATTTAAACAACACACTTCACGAATAGGATCAGTGCTACCAACTCGGTCGCGATGCTCGTGAGCTTATAATAACGCGGAAAATAAATACTACTTGCGAGATCTGAGGTCCTCACAGCGATAAAGACGTCGATCTTGGTCTTTGGGTCGTAAGGCTGTGTGAACTAAGGCCCATAAAAATGTGCTCTCTCAATTTTCAGTGCTGGAAAAGCCTACATACAGTTACAACGTAGAATTCCAATATCGATACGTTCCTACTTTTCAGTTACTCACTCAAAACATTTTTCAGAGAAATAAACAGTGTAAGTCCTGCAGCTGCAACAGAAAGTTATATAGGCCTATTATGACAATTATAGATTGTAAATTGTCTTGTAGGCCTATCCAAGCTACAAGTATGGTTACCGTGTAGCGGACGTACGCACTGGGGATACTCACTCGCAGCAAGAGGCACGTGACGGAGATACCGTAGTGGGCCAATACTCGGTCCAGGAACCGGACGGCAACGTGAGAACAGTCAAGTACGTCGCAGACAACAATGGCTTTCAGGCTCAAGTACACAATACGGCGAAAAACAACAATCCTGGTACTTATGTTGTCCGTGGTAAGTGACACTAGGTACCATCTGGGATTCAGCGCATCGTTGTTAAAAATTGTAGCTAATGTTTCGAGAATAAACACTAACTTGTACACGAACACTTTTCTTAGCAGAAATCAAATACATCTTTTGAAAGTTCTGTGTAAACTGAAACTTGTGCTTGTTATGGGGTAAGTACTTTCTCCATTGTGTCTTGCATGTTCTTCCCTACCAACTGGAATGCTCGAACAACTTAAGTAAAACATATATTGACCATTTTAATTAAAATAAGCGAGGCAGCAAAACAGACATTTCTCTGACTTTGCCATAGCAACAAAAGAATTGAAAACTCAGTTCCTACCTTAAATGAAACACAACGTGTCACCATTACAAAGGTCTTTAGGTTAATGCCGCGTGAGTAACAATATTCTACCAAGAAAATTCTCTTAAGTATAAACCTGTCAGACCTAAGTGAAAAGCCTCCACACTTTCTCGTAAAACTCCCAAAAAAAATTTCATGAAAATTCATTTAATCATTTTGAAGTTACATGCATACAGCCAGACGAAAAGAATAAAGCGACTTTCATTAGCGCTGCGCAGAGCTACAAACGGGCTGCCTCAATTCAGCATAATCTACATTCAACGTTAAATATAGTTACTCAGGTACTTAACAAATTCCCCACCTGTTATGGAATCCGAAGAAAAATTACCATGTCTAAAAGAGATCGTCACTGGATTATATAACTATACAGGGCGAGTCAGAAGTATGTTTACAAACTCTGTGTGCATGTTGCAGGATCAAGAATAAGTAAATATGTTCCTATGAACATGGGCTCGCAAATGTTTCATTTTCGAAATAATAGCCAAACATAAGTTTCAATGAATTGACTTTACATCAAAGTGAATCCAGCTTCCAGCAAATATTTTCAATTAACGTTTCGGCAGGAATTGTTGACGACATGCTTATTGGTCCACACATGCTTCCATCGCGTCTAAGAGGACCTTCATAACGGCGATTCTTAAGAAGACACTTACCACGTCTCCCTGAAGATGTACCACTGAATACAAGAAGACAAATGTGGTTTATGCACGACAGAGCCCGGACACACTTCTCCCATCGCGTCAGATATCATTTCAATGAACAGTACCCTCATCGATGGATTGGGCGTGGTGGCCCAGTAGCATGGCCACCGAGGTCACCGGACCTAACTCCATTGGACTTTTATCTATGGGGTCACTTGAAGTCCGTCGTCAGTCTTGTGTACGTCGTGCTCATGCATGTGTGGAGAATGGAGGAACAACCTTCGAGCATCTGTTATAAAGAAACTTCCGTCCTTATACTTGGCAATAAAGGCATATACTGAAACTTATTTTTGGCTATTATTTCAAAAATGCAACATTTGCGACCCCATGTTCATACGAACATTTTTTTCATATTTTTGATCCTGGAACACGCACACGAAGTTTGTAAACATACTTCTGAATGTGTTTTTTTACGATGGGGTGAAATTATGTCTGCGTGGAACTGCGGCCGCTAACGGGCCCAGTGTCTGTCCCCCGGATGATACATGATTGAATATGAAGGAGTGGTGGAAGGATATTGACAGGAAAAAACCGAAGGACTCGGAGAAAGACCTGTTCCAGCGCACTTTCTCCGCCACAAATCCCACAAGGACTGACCTGGCGCGAAATCACACCTCTACTGTGAGAACTTGGTGAGTAACCGGCTGAGTTATGACACAGCTCAACACACAGCGTGATAACATGTAAAACTTAAGGATATTTCAAATATAGTAGCTTCTGCAATTAAAAGGCACCAGTAAATTCAATAATACGAATAGTGACAAATATTTTTATTAGATAACCTACCTACATATTATAAAATGTCTATGTGGTTAAAGCTTTATATTTGATAATTTTGAAAATAACATACAAAGTGTCGCATATATTCGTATTTTAAGGCTCTGCATAGAATATCTAACAGATTCTGAAGACACAATTTTAAATCAAATAGAGGTAGGCGTTGGTAAAGAACAAGAGAAAGCTGTTGAAGGTAAATGATGCTACGTAGTGCGGATGTTCAGTGCTTCTGTATTCTTTGTTATGCCTCTTGAATAATGCATTAAAGTCTCTTGAGCCGGCCTTTTCTCAAACGTTTGCCATGGATATACAGGGCAACCGCAAACAATGCTGTGCATTAACCGACTAAGCGCCAATTGCTGATTTCAGCCTTTACACAAACATTGTGATTAAGTACAGTCAAGTTTGAAAAAGGTATTATGGGATTAGACGTTATGAAGGAAAAGAGAAAGAAACAAAGAAAGAATGAAAGGAAAGAAGGAAGTCCTCCTGTAATACGAAATAAACACTGAAGATTTGGTAAAGGTGCAGTGAACAACATAAGAAATTAAAGCCACTGACCATTCACTCTGTACATAAACATTTCTACTCAATCGAATTATGCCAATATAAGGAAAAATAAGAACAGAAGGTAAAGGTTGAGGTGACAGCCCACTTAAACGAATGGTGGGGTTTGGATAAAATATGATTTTGTACACCTCCCCCCACACACTCATACTTAAAGAAAGGGGCACAAGTTGCAACTTGACACCAGAATAAAATTTGTTTTTAAAAGAGGAAAACATACGATAAGGTTTTAAACATGTAACCTGAAAATTATATTTGCCGAAATTTTATGCATTCAAACTAGAAGTATAAAAGATCAAATTATCTATTCAAAAAGAAAAGTTGATTACATCCTCTGTATTTCCACTATCCAGATATGTAAATCCAACTTAAAGGTGAGCTAGCCACAAAACACTTTTGGCATACTGAATGTGCTCCTTATATAAAACAGTACTGAATCTAAGCAGGTTGCCATCTGGACACTCGCACCAACCAGTGTAATGAAAGGCACCTGACTTCTAACGTGTCCGCAAATACATACTGAGATGTTCCTAAGTATTTTGGAAACGCCTCTACCTATACAAACGCATAAAGACGCGGACAAACATCTATGCCTTGAGTGGGACTCGAACCCACGGTCCCAACGGCCAGGAGCACGAGGTTCATGCCTCAGACCGCGTGGCCGGCACAATGGATAATAATTATGCTAATTTAAAGAATGGCATTAATAAATAATGCAACAAACATACCCGATAAACATTAACGAAATCTCGATCAAGGATTATACAGTGTTTTAAATACAAATCTTACAGTTACACGTGCTGTTACAGGAGGAAGGAAATACAGAAACGTGGAAGGAACCTATGCATCATAAACATGGAGACATTAATTACTTAAACAAAATTACATGAAACATTTATACATATATATACACGGAGCTAAGAGCTGCCAAAGATAAGTGGCCTAATAAAATATAAATATAAAACAAAGACAGTGGAATAAATTTTACATGAAAAATACAGCGCTATTAAATGGATTAAACAAACATTGAAACAAGATAATTTAGTGATAAAAAATTTAAAAAAGACAAAACGTTCGTTAGATAGTGGGAAATAAAATTTTAATGAAAAGTCATACAGATGACAGAACTTTGAGAATTGTTTGAAAGCAAGTGAAATAAGAAACAACAGCAAAAAATGTTTTCACATTTGAATCTAAAAACATCCAGTCTAGTTCTAAAAAGCCACACAGATCAGAGAAGCAACATTGTACAGAAAACCAAAGATACCAGAAGGGAAATAACGATAATGCTAAATCCAAGTACAGTAGATTCCGATTAATTGGGTTATCGGTTAATTGGGGCGATCATTTATTTGGCACAAATCTTAAAGAACAAAAACAAATCGAGCAAATAACCGGAATTTGCTTCGCTTATTTGGGACACCATGCCATTTAATCGGAACAATGAATGCTAGATGGTGCGCTTGTGGCGTGGAGGAGTCAGTGAGTCATCGCTGATTCACTCAGTAATGAACACGTGATTCTGCTTGCGAGCAATAAGCAGCATGACCATTCAGAACTACTTTGCTCGCTGTGGTTTTAAGAATTCAGGCTTGAAAATGCCAGATACGACCGAGAGTAAAAATGACGCCATTTTGGAAGTGCAACACGTCAAATACTGCAAAGAGTTCGGATGCATCGACAACAGTCTTCAATGTTACAATGAAAATTAAGATTATGAGGACGCAATTCTTGAACAAATTGCAGCAAAAAACCAAGACACCAGAAACCCGGAAAGTTATGAGGACGACACACCTGACCTTGAGCGAGTACTAACCAGGATGCCGGGAAATTTGCTGCTGGATTACGACGCTACTTCATGCAGGAAGGCAATGAAGGCAGTGCACTAGATACCTGGGCTTATTTTGTTCAGTTGCAGTCAAACAAGAGAACACGGCAGGGTACACTCGATAAATTCCTCCAACATCATTAAAAGTTGAGAACTACATACATGCATGTTTGATACATTAAATTGAAATTGTTTTTAGCGTAAATACTTTTCTCTTACCTATACCATTTGTTTCAGAATTAATTTACAGTATTTTTGTTGCTTAATAAATCATCTCAATAAACGGGACTTTGTGTTTTGTTTTAAACCTCTTTAACTCTTTACGCGGAACTTCTCATAATTGGGGCAGCCGCTTAATTGGGCCAAAGTGTTCTAATCCAGATGTGTTCCAATTAACCGGAATAGACTGTATAAGCATAATTTAACGATAATAAAGGTCTCATTGCATTAAAACGGCATGCCACACTTTAAACAAAAAAGTTTTTCACTCTGTAGTATACTTCTTTACCCGAGGGTACCGTGATAGATGTGTCATTTAATGGCCGAGATTTCTAACGAGTCCCATTTCCCAAACAATTTTGCATGCATTTAACTGTGACAGACTATGACAAGCCACCGCCAAAACTTTGTGACAGATAATTTTGCTGTGCATGCAACATTATCACAACTTTTAAATCGAAAAGCTGTACTACAATGTTTTTACAAGTTTAAGGTATAGTTATATTTATAACTGAGGAAAAATATACGGTTGACAAACAATATTATCTGTAGTGTTTATGAGGTCCAGAATTTAACGGAAATTAATAAACCTCTGAAGTAAATTTTAGACAATGTTTCTTCAATACATTAGGAAAAGGCACATGACATTGCATTTGATATATATATATATATATATATATACCTACGTCATAATTCTGACACTTATATAGCATATTTCTTCAAATTTACAGACCAGTCATACTGAAATCCAGTGAGTCCCAAAAGTACTGCAACCAGAATATTAAGATTCAAATAATTTATTAGTGTGAGAGGATAATACATTCATAAAGAAATTTTAATTACTCATCGTGTTTGTTTCTGAATACTATTTCTGAACTCATTTAAACAAATACAACACGTGCACTTCCCGGATGGTGCTGAACCAAATAAGTCAACCATTCTTCGACTTAACAGTCTACACGGAAGGGAGTCCACTAATGATTTCCGATGAACGGGTTTGGTTATGTGTACAACAGGATGCAGGACAATTTCAGCATGTGTTGAAATTACATTCCAATTGGTTTGTGGAAATTGTAGGAGACTGTAGAATTAGCACTGGTCTCTTGTTTTATGAACGGAACTTGGCCTGCGCAGGAGACTATTTTGGGGGTAGGAAATTGTGAAGCGTAATCAACTGGGGAAAGGGGGGGTTGAGACATAGTGGCTGCGCATTCACTATCACGAGACGCGGAAACGATGCAGCAATACCCAGACTTTTTGACGTTGTTCCACTAGACCAGGGGTCGGCAAACATTTTTTTCTAAAGGTCCAAATAGTAAATATTTTAGGCTCTGCGGGCCAAGAGGCAAACTCGAGGATATTTATATAGGTAAACCTACTTATGTAACAAGAAAAAACGAGGTTTTAACAAATTTATTGAACAAAATGAAACGTAATAATAATAAGTAGACTACAATTGTTTGAAATACAGCTCTACTAATGAGAAGAATGGAATTGCCTGTTTATGAGATGACATTTCACCAAACTGAGGTTTAAATTCAGTACTCCCCATCTTCAAAATTGATTGCAAATGTGCATCCGTTAATGCTGATTGTAAATGTTCAACCGTTAATGCTAACCTGTACTGAGATTTTACATATTTCATCTTTGAAAATGTCTTTTCACACAGGTAGGTGCTGCCAAATACAGATATAAATCCCCGAGCATATGATCTTAATTGGCCGTATTCATCGCTTTTAAGACATTTATAGAATTCTTTCTCCCAACTACTCAACTCGGCCGTTTAGTTATAGAACGTACTTTGAAATTTCAAAGAATTTAAATATGTAAAATCCGTTCTTAGCTCGCGGGCCATATAAAAAGAGGCGGCGGGCCGGATTTGGCCTGCGGGCCGTAGTTTACCGACCCCTGCACTAGACCTTCGCATGTAATATATATATATATAATGTTCACTATACCGAAATGTTGTGTATGCGCCTGAGAACTGGCCTTTTTAATTTCAGTAGCAAACAATATTGTTAAAATCTCAAAAACTGAACCTGTCTTGTACGTATCAATCATCAAATTTATCCATACAACCACTGAACGGTGTGTTAGATTTTAACACGTTTTCAGCGAAGCCGTAAACCAAGGACCACCGTAAAGTAACAGGAGAGATCAATTTATTCTAATTACCACCAACAAAACCTATACATACATCTACATTTGGAACAAAAAAGAGCAGAACCATGGAGGCAATATGCGAGATTTCTCTCCATAATTACTTTGATGAGAGGCGCGTTCTTCCGTAGATGACCAAAGATGCACGACTTAACCGTCACATTTGATAATGTTGAGGTTTCTTCAAACGAAAGCCGTTCGATTCTACGCGAATGTGTTGAGTCCGTTAGGGCACACCGATGACACGCCACCCGTTGGAACCCTCAGCAAAGAATCCCCTTGGCTGCTGTTGGAACGAGTGCACCACCGCTGCGTGGACATTGTGACCCAACCCAACCCGAACGCACGGCCCTTTGGATCTCTCTTGAGACGAGCCGACACGTGTATCTGAAACGCTAGAATTTAACCATGTCACACACTGCTTCCGTTAGCTCTAACATACCCGTTCTGGTACACAAGTCAAGGTCGATTGCCGGTGTGTCATACCCATAAACACGTGATCTGCGACAGTTCGTATTCCCTGTCAGAACCTCGAACTGATTTTATTTGGACAACCCCTGAATAGGTACTTTGTCTCTTTCGTCCGGGATGTTTTTCAGTGTCAGGTTTGGGGTTCTCACATTCGTGAAGATGACATCTTCTCGATTGTGACACCGTGCAGACTAACCATAAGAACCTCATCATCAATTGTAACGTTGGTGACTGAAAATCGTCACTCGAAGAGGGTAAGTTGTCCTCCTTGTACTTTATCAGGCGTCCATAAGCTTCGTGCGAACCAGCTAGCTACTGGAAGCATTGTGCAAGTTTACTACAGGTCTCTTTTTGTATGGGGCTTGGTTATTCGCATATCCCCAGTATTATATTAATGACAGAGCAGTATCAAAATCCTATCAGTGGCCATGGTAAAAACTCGCGCATGCTCAGTCAGTTACGCGCGTAGTTTCCGTGACTTGCCGAAACACTTTCGTTTTCACCTGGAACCTTCACATCTGCATCTGCTCAAGAACCCTTCCAAACGGTTGCCTTACGCAAGATCCAGCTCTGCGATGGTTGGGTTTTCTTAAATTTTAATTCTGTTACATACTACTTTAATGTATTTTATTTACTTTACGTGGTGA